GTCGGTTACAAAAGGGTCCGTTGAACGAAATGGGGAAGCGCTACGTTCGTCACAATTACGACGGGGTTACTAAAAGTCCAAGAACGCCAACAATGGAGTGTTGGAGAAGGAAGTTTATTGCTTCCGCAATAAGATTCTGGGGTGCACGCTAAGAAAGGGGTTAAGTTCAAAATACACACTGGCCAGATGACGTGGATGCTCGAAATTCTGAGATATCTTGGCGAGATAATACGGCTGCTGCTTCTTCTCCGACGAGTTGCTTTAATTGTACGGATAATCTTCGGCTCCTGTAAACAAACGGATTGACATTTAATTTGACATCGACAAATACGATCGTTGAATGTTCTTGACCTGTTACAGAGCATAAATTTTCTTTATTTACAAAGGTTCTGCAGTTACAATGAATCGATTCAATAGCCGAAGGAATCTGTGATTACCGCGTTAAACGCCATATCGGTCACTGATGATCGACGCTTCTGAATGACTGGAAAACAATCGTAACATCCAAGATAACCGATGTTGAATGAAAATGTTTAATAACATAACTAAGCTGATAGTAACGCCAAACAATTAATAATTGCCCCTACTTTTCTTTGCTACAAAAGAATAACTCTACGGAAAAACGGTCAAGATTTTGTGGCGCTTTACGTATTAAAGTGTCCCATTGCGCATTGTCTTATTATTTTTTTTTTCTACAAAAACGTATATATGTTAGAATCTGATTGTACTGTCTTATTTCCACGCACATATTGTGAGAAAGCTTGCTAAGAAACATCCTCAATTACGAGTTTGAAATATAAAAGTGAATTCTTTAAACTGGTTGCGACGTAATTCAATTTACTCGGTACACTCGGACATTCTAGGCTGTAAATTCCAGTACACCAGTATGCATTCTTGAAATTACTTTCTTAAGAGAGTATAGTAGTTAAGACACGTTGGTAATTCTTAAGAATTTGATTCATCAAACGTTTTATTGCCTATAATGAAAACAATTTTGTTTTGTGGCCAATAGTGAAATTCATTAGTCTCGTTATTTGTAAAATCGAATTAAAATCGAGATGCAACGGTGAAAATTTAAAAAAAAATGTGTAAAATACAATTCAACTTATATTTCAATAAAGACTAATTAAATAGACGGTTTATTAATAAAAACTAAGATATTATATATTCCCACTTGAACGGACGCCTGCCCGTTTTCGTTTCTTTTTCATTACTATCTTCGTTCGTCTGTATATTGTTCCATTCGTATGAATTTGATTAATAGAAACTGCAATCAAACGAAAACAAAAATTATTTCTGTCTGTTCCGAAAAAAATCGATGTTGAAAAAATTAACAATCAAATATTTTCAAAACAACTATTGATACCAATTTTAAAAGCCTAATTAATAAAATGTAACAAATTAATATGTTATTATAATAAAATATAACTGATTACAATTAATACCTTGATTACATCAAAATAGTTACAATATAAACTTAAAACAACAAACATGAGAATAATCGATTTTCATGCTCACTGCGTACTACACGTTTTTCATCAAACTGAAATTCATAGGTGACAAATCTAAACTAAATCGTCAATTTTAATTTGGTAGTTTCATCGTACCGGGGACAGTTTGTTCAATACCTAAGAAATGCACGAATCCCTCAATGTAATAAGACATTTTTCACAGCGTTACCGATGCAGTTCCTTGAATCGTTTCCAAACCAACTAAATGGGACACCGGATTTGCTGACTCGAAATCCTCGTTGCTGAACCTCTAGGGATCGAGCTGTGCAGGCTAGGGGTAAATATTGGTATCACGATAAATCGCGTAGTCCGCCCATCCTGCCGGCCTGACCGTACCTTATAACGACTTTTGTTCTTATAAAACTAAAATTTCGAAGCGATTTATCCTTAAGAAGATATAGTAACTATAGCAACTTTATCAGTGCAGATAAAACGATAAAAATAATAATTATGACATCATTTTATCGAGACATTATATACATCGGATGGAAGCAATAGCAGTATCCTATAAACAGCTAGTAACCTGTGAGAAAAAAAAGATGAAACTGCTAAAAAGTTCTAGTATTTACCGTCCAAGCTTATACTTTACTTTATAAGAATTATTGTGTTTAAAAGTTACGTAAAAAATACAAGAGTGATGGAATACTCTATAAAAATTATGAGAAAATTTAAAAATGAATGTACAACCTGAATTCACTTTTATTATTTTGTTTCTGTAACATAGAAGGTATCAGACGTAAAATGGACTTTTTGGTCAAACATTATTAAGGAAAACGTTAGTCGATACTTTTCTTAATAACTGGCCTGCACGCTGTGCTGATTACATGCGTGTTACGCAAATATCAGGACGATCTAATCATTGCCCCATTTTACATCAATGCAAGCAAATGAAAATGATTACAAAGCTGGAAGTCAATTGAGAAACGTCACGCGATTTCAAATTAAACAGCCGCTAAAAGTATCGCGATACGATACCTTGAATAAAATGCTCAGGTATGTTTCAAATGGAATTATTAACATGTTTTTAGATTGAACTAGAACAGTTTCCACGTTTCATTTTCTCTCGCAACGTACACTATTTTTATTTCTATAGGTATACGGTATTTAATTAAATTACGGTGCATGCTGCTCCCCGACAAACTTTATTCCACTCTAGAACAATACCCGTCGGTCGTATATCGTATACAAACCACCGACGTTACAAGCAGTTTATTATTCTATTCTAATTTATAAAAGTACTTTTAACTAATATTTATTTCAACAGTGTTAACCTAATGGGAGTAACATACACACGCGTTATCCTTAAAATGTTAAATTATCCTGACGAATGTCCTATAGGACAAAGTACAGGAATGACTTGGAGTTTAAATAAAAAAAAATATTTATTTAATTTATACATATAAGATATAAGCGTATTGTATATTTCGCATTTTTTAACAGTTTAACCGCCATTTCACCTGATTTCGGATGAGATAACTTTTTGTACAGATTTAAAAATAAACTTACTCGATGACTAAATCAATTGTTGTTGTCTCTATTAAATAAAAGAAAAATAAGAAAGCAATCGCTGTGAAAAGGTGGTCTAGATTGCTAGGATAACTGCTTCGATTGTACGAGTAATTTAATGAGTCCCGATTTGGTCAACGTATTAACATCACAATTACCGAGCATTTATTGGGGTAAATATGTAATCCTTATAAAGATTGTAACGATACATTTTTTTTATGATTTCTTTCGATATTCATTATAGTATTTAGGTGAAACTATTTTGAAAATCATTTCGGATAGCGAATACTTTTAAGATATTAGTTATTATAAAATAAGAAAACTGAATCCCATCATTTTGATGGATATAGTATCTAGTTCTGCTGTTAATGAATTTGTGAGCATCTCAGAACTACTTTTACCAGTTGTACAACGATTACAGACTTTTATATCCATTAAAATTATAAAACTGTGCTTATAAAATTTTATTTATTAAATTAAGATTTAATGATATTGTATCGACAAGATCAAACTCTTATGAATCTCAGTTAAACTTTAAAGAAGTGAATTTTCATAATTATCAAAACTCTTTTGAAATATTTTATTTGTATCTGTATTTTCGACAATGATTAATCGACTTTAATCAGCATATACATATTACTTTCGAAAATTAATTAAATATAGGCAAGTAGTAAATGTGTTTTACTGTGGAGTAAAACAAAACGGCACTGACATTTCGCGATCTGTTTTAATGAGCTTAAATTGACACACATTCATTTAATATCAAATTTTCGAAATCTTTCTAATTGATGGTCATGCATTTTATATACGCTTTTTAACCTCTAAGTATGGATGTATGGTCTCGCAAACCTCTATATAAAGTACATTTTGAAACCAGTGAAATTCTCGTTATACAGCTCATACTATTGCTATGTATAGATATTTAAATAATTAAAAACAAATAAATATAATAAATTTGTTTATTAATTGTAGCAAAAATTAGGTACGTATGTATTTTCCAATTTAATTACAAAATTACGTGTGAAAGCAACATGTTTATTCATATAAAACCAATATAAAATAAGTTTATTTTTGCCCCACAATGTTTAGAAAACTGGAGAAATATGAACACGACGAAAGCATTTTATCTTCCCTTTTAAATCGCATTTCAAATCTTTCGGGCGATCTTAATGTCTTATTTTATGGCTACGGTCATTATCACGCAAAGTGAAAAACGTCATATTGCATTGCTCTATTAATTTTTATTTTGTGTTATTCACATAAAATTCACCTCATTTCCGTCTTACATGGCTTCGAGTACGATGCTGTATCGTTCACGAATGCACGATTCTACCCCGTCGGAGATGCATGATATGTGATACTGAAGAAGTAATGATTCCATAATCTGTGAAGAAACAATTATTGTTTGAAGATTGAGAAGCACAAAAAAGAATATTAAAAGTTGCAAAAAGCATTATTATCATTTCTTCGCATATTTTAAGTTATTGTATTATTTCAAAAATTACCACTAATCAATTTTTAACGTCTTTCAAGTGACGTAAAGTTGTCCAGTGAAGTAATAAAATTTATATCTGTACACAAAATCATAAATAAATCTTCTGTTGCGCTTAATAAAATGTATTACGAACTAGTTTAACTATATTGAAAATTAAATAGAAGTACGAAAATATTATTTCCTGTAAACTATACGTTTTTTAAGGTTATTTTTATCATTCTCGACTGTTTGACTACAGTTACTCATAAACAACCCTCTCGTTTGAAGATTCATCGGTATAACTTCTTGTTACATCGTGACGTATAATTAACTGCAGTAATGCACTATTATTGTAAATCTATAGTATGAAATTCTGAAGATTAAAAATTACACAATTCACTTGTAAAATGTGCAGTAAAGCATATTCCAATTTTGGAATTGGGGAGAAATGAAATCAATTGTATTTTATATTTGCAAATACATATTTACTTCTTAAATATTATCCCTTGTAATACATAATACAATCTTACAATCCACCTCAAATTAAACTACTGTTAGGTAAAGATGAAACTGAGTTATTGGCTCTGGTTTTTCTTTCTCTCCGGCCATTAGCGTAATATTTAGCAAGTACTTGCCAGGTGGAAAGGAATCTGGCAAACCATCGAAATTGTCAATCACGTAATTCTCTCTTCCGTAAACTCCCTGAAATAGACTGGCTTTTTAATAACGAACACATTTTTTTTCTATAAAACCAAAAATGATAGGTGTCGGATAGTCTGAGTATACGCAAGTACTATTCATTCTATTCCAACGTACCGGTTTTGGAGGACAGTTGTCAGCAGCCATATCAAGAGCTCGTAATATGGGAAACGCAATACTGGTGGGATTAGATAAAGCATCACAAAGATCCATTTCTACATGAAGTCCAAGGTCATTCGTATATTCACCCATTTGAGCTGCATTGATATTGCCTAGAGCCTGCAACAAGATTATAAGGATATGATATAACTATTTAGAAACATCTAGTAGTATTTGGGTAATTATTTAAATTAATGATTTTTCTCCGACTTGGATAACCTTGAAATATGTTGTCAAGGTCATCATTCTGAACAACCTTCGTCTGTACATGTTACCGTCGTATGTGTATAGATGAAAGCCATTCAGAATCTAGCCTCAAATAATACATATAAGGGTCATCCATATTGGTGAGGAATTGCTAATGTAATGACAATATTTACTCAATGTTTTTAATATTTTAAAATATGAACCCTGTCAACTATATAACAAACTATACTAATTAACTTTCGTATTATATTTAATGCCATCGGTAAATATTCTATCTACCACAACGCAGACGTCATAATATGTGAACATGTACCAAAGTGTAATATAACTACTATAGAAAGATTAAAAGAACATACCACAATTTTGTCAACTGCTTTTACAATTTCCAATCTGGTAGTCAAACTAGTTCCATATTCACTATCATCTTCAACTTCCATTCCACAGGAATCTGGTTTAATATACTTGTCGTTGGTGAACACACAAGTACCATCTTCGAAAAGCAGATCAATTTCTGCCTTGTAACGATAAAAAATGGTTAAAATACAATAAATCTGTTTAACGAAAAGTTTGTACAATTTATTAACGAGATAATTTTATTGTAAATCAGAACAGGTAAAAGTAAAACGTTTTAAGAAGATAATATAATTCACAGTCAACGATATTAATGGTAAGGAATTCATGAATGATATTGAATTCGTTTTTTATTATGTCTGTGAAGATTATAAGAATCGAAAAATTACTAAATAATGCTAGCTTAACATTAGTTTAAAATATACAAGACGTCAAGATATTAAATGTTCATCCACTTCTCCGAAAAAGAATGAATCGTATATATACATACATTTTAGTTTTATATTTTAGTGAAAAGCCTCCTCGCTGAATTTTTTAATTTTTGGACTCACTTTTACTTACATAAATTTTTTGTATAAAGTTTAGTTACACTATTCTCCTCACCTGCACTAAGCACAAGCTTAACGCGCAACAGACGAAATACCAATAAATCATGGTATTATTTGCACCCAATATTGCTTTTCGAGTTCTTCACAAATATTACTGGACTTTCCGACTGACACCAGCTGTTATTTCATAGTAGGTTTCATCCACTATTACAATGTCTCCAGAATTGCGATCTTATCAAAAGTCAGTGTCACTCGTAAGCATGACACTACCACATAATGAATCACCACTTAATTAATTGACCTTGAATATTCAGTATATAAGTGTTTCAGATTGATATCTATATCTATGTATTAGGTTACAACAGCAAAAACATTGAAATAGTAAATAAAAGGTATTTATTTTCATATAATGTGCCCCCGTCCTTATAAAACTTGGTAAACATATAATAATAAACACGAATTAAATATTTCAGAACTGCAAATATTATAAAAGAGCGTGACAATTCTCGTCGTACACATTTAATAAAAAAAAGTCATTCCTTTGTTCGTAAGATACATTAAATACAGTGAATGACATCATAGTAAAAAGTCAGGCAACATTTTTCTACATATTTTCTATGTATTTTAAATAAAAATCTAATTCAATTTTAAATATGTGTGAGATACGTGCAAGTGAGAAACATAAAAAACGAATAATGTTAATGTGAACATTATATAAAGGAAGTTAAATAAATATATAAAAGGTCCCAACACAACGTAAGTACTCGAATATTTCTATTTTTTAATGATGTAGAAGAACATATACGTTACAGATGAAATGATTAGAAAAGAAAAAGGTGGTACAGACTAATGTTAACAAAAAAAATGATTTTTCCTTAATCTTGAAAAATATCAATAATTTTTTCATGGTTCATAGATGTATTGTAATATACATCTTTCTTACGTTTTACAGAGTGTACTAAAACGCATTTACAAGTGTACAAACTAAGAGTTTATACATCAAAACGGCCTTCAAATTTTATGAGCGATACACTTACTGAAATGAATAAACGTATGTAATCAAATTATCTTTTAATTAATTAAACTATGAAACTGACACCAATTTCAACTATCGCGTTTATACTATTAAGCGAAATTTATAGAATCCCCCAATTTAACAGATTTCACATTTCATCTTTAAAATTCTAAGAAACTATTTTTCTTAATTTTTAGTATACCCTGATACCTCCACGAAGAGTGAATTCTTAAACTGAACTTCTCCTCCCTTCCCAGATAAAGCAAAACGCAGTCAGAAAGCAAAATTTTCAATGAAGAAATATTCCGATGTCAATGGAAATCACCTCCTTGGACTGACAGAAGTCAACCGCCCTCACGTACCCGTATCAGAAAATAGTACCAAATAGAATAGCTTATCGACCGTTAACATTGGCATGCGACCAGTTCATCGAAAAGGTGGGCATAACGTGACTTGTTTCCGCTATTTTCGGTTCCTTGGAGCACCAGAATAGTAGCCTACGGTCTGATGAAAATCGCATCACGCTAGCCGGGTGTTATTATCAGAACTTTGGCATTCGTTTAGCGACAGTATGCTTGACTAAATGTTACCTTTAACATGCGCGAGTGTTACCATATTGCCCAGCGAGGTCCGTTCTGTTTTTATCCAATTCGACTTTGATAATATCACTTTTGCATCATAACGCGAAGCTTGGCAATATATTCTTTGTGATAAAGAATGTTTGAGGGGTCCAGTGCAAGAGGGAGCTAAGCCACAAAATATTGTAAAATGAGGAACTCATTCCTTCTGATACCTTTTAATGTCCAGTTATTATTCTGCAATTTATAAATACATGACACAATTTTTGCGTCTATGTTTACTTGAGTATATGATGCTTGTCTTGCTTATTGGTTATAATTTTTGTGTAAAAGAAAGTTGCAAAACTGGAAAATATGACTTCTGTAATATTCTTCTTAACGTGCTGCATTATTTTAATTGATGTAGGAAAACGAAGTTTACTATGATGGATTTTATTAAACCTTCTATGGTCCAAGTTAACTTTGTTGTTAAATTTGTAAGAATTAGATCACGTGTTTCAACTGTGCAAGAAAAATTAATCATAGCTAACTTTTCAGAGGTTTTCAGAAACTTAAATTAAATCACACAATTATTAAAATTTAAAAAATTATCCGAAAGTAACTTCTTTTTCATAAATACCTCTCCTTTCATTACTTTTGCTCAACACAAAAAATATAGATGATTTATTATAAAAATTTGACAACTATTATTTAATCGAGGTCAATAAATCTTTCATAGCATTTTGAATTTTTGTTTAAAACATATTGCTTCGCGTACAAGTACTTAATATTGAAGTAGTAAGATCATCCATTTATGTGGTATGAAATTCACCACTAAAAATCGCAATTGTAGTGGATGCGTAATAATTCACTAGGTCACAAAGATCAGGTTAAAATTATCATAATAATACAAATAAAAAATATATACTAAATATTTTCAGAAATATATTTTTGTATTAACTCTAAGAAACATACACAAATCGAAATAACTTTATATTCAAATTATCGATCACTCGTAAATAGTCTAAAATAATTCACCGTCGCTCGTTCAATACCGCACATTAGCGATTAAACGAAAATAAACGACTGAGGCGAATTTGTGAACGCGTGTGACTCCCGTAATTTCCGAATGTTGCGCGTAACCGTAAAAATCCGAGCGTCGTAAATTAAGCGGTACCCAGAAAACGCAGTGAAACAGTTAAGGGCAGTGTAAAATTAGCCGACCATATCATTGCCCTCAAAGTAAACTCGGTTAATCGCGTTTTCGAATCGATTGTGTAAATCCCGAAGACAATTAATTCTCGAAAGGTAAACTGGCAAACCGTAATGGTCGCCAATGGTAACTTTCAATAAGCTGACGTCAGTTTGATAATACGCACGGCCCGTGTCTCTGGACATTCGGCCACTTTACGAGCTTATTCCAATTCGGGACCCGATTGACATACGGCTAAACGGATTTCGTCAATTCATTTACCACTTGATCTAGCAGCGCATCGCAATTATGTGTATACTCTTTGTCAGAGAAATATCCGGTGCGGGGTGTCCCGGCACACGCACACCGCAATCCATACACCGACGGATTCTGATAAAGTCGTGGGAACGGATGCGGTCCGCGCTACAATTGAATTAATCTCGATCGAACAACACGATCTTCGAAACGAAACAGGAAATCGCGTTGTCGCGCGCGAAATCGAATAAACGCGCACGCACACCTGCACATATACAGAGAAACTATCGGCCATTATTAACCGTTACTGTTTTCCAGAATGTTGCGCGTTATTGGACCACCAGCATTCTTTTTCGTTCCCGGTTCGTTAATTAGGGTGTAACCGGTGCAACGCAATTAAATTACTGTAGTAGCGATCATTTGTACGATTATTGGAAAATTTCGTTGGATTAGGCATAGTTTAAAATAGAATATTGTATCATACTTGTAAATGGACGACAACTTTTTATGTTTTTGAATTATAGTATACATGATTATAGTATAGATTTCATTGAAATTGAATAACACGTTTGAGATGTCCATTTCTATTGCAAATATGTCGATTTTAAATACTTTTGAAGACCAGTGTAAGTATTTATATATTTATACAGATCATGTAAAGTGTTAATAAGTAATGATTTACGGTAAGATACATACGAATATTTCTGAATTTTTTTTAGAAGTCTTAGAAGAATTTTGTGAACATATTTTTGTGTATTAATGATTTGGTTAAATTATTAAGTTAATGTTAAATTATTCTGAAAAATAACCATAGTAAAAAATATCATAACGATAACAATACATAATAGTAATCATAAAACAACTGAGTGAAATCTTGGTTACGTCAACACATTCTGTTACAAGAGTAATTAAAAACGAAATTGTTCATAACAATTTGGGCGAGACAATAAAAGCGAGATAAGATAGGAATGAGAGAAGTTAGATTACGGAATGAATTATAAGCATTTAGAACAGACCAATTATAAGACGTAATATTAAAAAAATAGTCAGTTGTAGTTTCATCATGCTATGTGAAAAATATCCTGCAAAAACTATATAAAACTGTAAACAATATTATTCTTTCTGTTTTTGTCCAAGAGTATAGTAGTAAATTCTGCTTCTTCAATTAATAAAATGTGCTTGTCTGCTTGTTTGTTATCCAGTTTAAATTTAAATGAAGATGTAAAAATTTGTTAATTCTGTTATAATTATAGTAATGCGGAAAAGATAATTGTGATGTGCCCAATATGTGCGTAATTTTCTGGCGCGCACACACACGCGTGCGCACACACACACACACACACTACGACATCTGTTTTTATTAATTATCTGTTTCTATTAGTTTACATATTACATTTACAAATTCAAGAGACCGAGTGTATAATAAAATTAGTGTATTTCTTAGTTAGACATACTATACATTGACAATTAGTACGGGATACAACTGAAAAATAAATATTGTATAGAAAAGAAAACAATGTCTTGTTTGCTGCTTGTTGATCACACCTTTTTTAATGAATACATTATAAGAACTCCTTATGCGTAAAGTGTCCTCCAAAAGCGACATTCAATGAGCTTAAAGAAAACCAAATTAAGATGCATCATCCATTCTGAACTGAAGGGCCAAATTACGTTTTCTCTCTAAATTCATTTCGTCAGAGATTCGAATTAGGTTAGCTTGCTCCTGCCGAAGAGCCCGCTTCAGCTCTTGCAGCTTCCATCCCGTTTCTATTTGCTTCTCCGCTATCTGTTTCTGTAGAGCGGCTATCCGCTGATTTAAAATATTGTAATCTGCTCTTAGTGGAACACCCGGCATGCAGCTGACAGCGCTCGGTTTGTCCTGATGCACCATATCCGATGTTAGCAAGCAAATCTTGTCATGAAGATCTGCCAACTGCGTTAACGTTAATGACTAAAACAAATAATATGGATTGTCAGATTTAAAGAAATATAGCAGACTGCTATATGGATATGATAAGCATTCGGTAGTTAAGTATTATACGGGCTACCTTTGTTTTTAAAAAATAAAATATTAATAATAATAGTGATATAATGATAATAATAATAATAAAATATTTCTTTTAATTCAGTTAGGAGAAGGTTGTCCGTACAACACGTAATTACCAAGCTTTTATAGTTCATAGGTATGTATACTCGTGTATTTGAATTAAATGAAACTCGAAAATTGAACATTTTGAAAATATTGTGTATATAATATGTAGGTATCTATAAAGAAACATTAATTTTGAAAATTAATGTCTTGCGGATATCAATATCAACATTCTTTTATGTATATGAAAAGATCGAGGAGTTTTCAAGATAATCAGTGCCTTCTTAAATAGAATTGTGTGCATTTTATATACTATATGATCCACATTTCGACAGATTTCAAAGAAATAAACACTTAATATTAATAAGTTCCAAATATATTTTAAAATTTTTCATTTTCAATGCATAAGTACATACTCACATTAGTAATTTAAAGGTTGTGAGAACTAGAATGTTACATTTAAAATTATGTATATAACAAAACAACTTTAAACTTAATTCGTTCAAAATTTCACATACTTACATAGGTAGAGTACTTCATACCTTTTTCTTATAAACCCTTTCCGATTTCACAGCTATCAAGTTTTTCCACAAAGTTTTTATTTGAACACAATGAACATAAAATAATTAAAACTATATAAAATATATTACGAACCATGAAGTAATTTATTTATGTGCACAGTATCCTTCAGAAAATGATTAAACACATTGTTATAAATAATCAGTTTTATTGATTGAACAATGAGTGACTTTTAATTTTTAATGGTTGAAAAAGTGATGAATGTCGTTAGTCTATGAATCATAAAAATTTTAATACACGTTCAGAGATAAGATTAAGATTTGTGACTTTGGAACTGAGCGACTTTATTATCTCCGGAATATGGAGTGATTTATTAAGTGACATTAATATGAACCTAATATTTTCATTCACAGTAATTATTCCCTCTTAGAAGAAGAATAACTATCGGCTGCGAACTGTAAAAACGTTAGCATTTCATTCAGTAAATATTTTCTTGGTCAGTCGTACCGCCGTAAAAAAAATTAAGTGGGCAATTACTGGAAACTGTCATCAATGAATTTTAATCATACTGTTACTAATCATACATAAATAAATCTTATTTAATGCATATTTTATGATGCATAGATAGTTTATGTTCAATAAATAAGTTATTACACAAAGGCAAATGTAAGATATAAAATGAAACATAAAAACCGTTTTATATTTTATCAGCTCATTCAAAATGACATCTTTTGTAGATGAAACAATGCTTTTATCCTTTACCATAACTATATTTATTTTCATATATGCATGAATAATAACAAAAACAAATACACTTATTTAAAAACAAGATCATGGTATTGTTCGCCCTTTTCGAGTATAGAACTTTTATACACTTGGGTACTACTATGCTCGAAAGAGGCGAATAGTATACACAACTTAAGCAATTTGTTTAAAGATTTGAACTACTTTACATCATTAAACGGTTATAATCCAAACCCAAAGAAATGTTAACTTTGAGGACTGATTTCATCCTCTTAACCCCTTGCCCTATGATTTATTTCTCAATTGTGATTGATACAACTACTTTGCTATTCATAATTTACCGACAAAAGAAAAAAATTCTAGTCATATTGTTTATCTATGTTTGGATTACTCAATAAAAAAAATTGAGTAATATTTATCCTGTGATAAATGGAGGAGCATCAATGACCACTCGAAAACGTGCAAACAATTTCTAGTAGCACCAAGGTCGGATGGGCACTTTCGACCAGCAAGCCAGTAATAAAGTAGTGCGGCAAGGTCCAGGCCAAAAATCTCATACAAAACCACCGTACGACTTCCAACGCCGTTTTCCGAGTTCGGGAGATGCTCCTCCAGGAACTCCATTTTCGTGCCCCCACCACCAAGGAAAATCAGTATATAAGTACGGCGTTTTTTCCCGGAAGGAGATCAGAATCCAAATTATCGAACATCCAACAACGTTACGCTGCCCGACAGAGCGTTAACTTATCGTATCGTATCGTCACTAAACCAGCATCAGAAAGCAAATCATCATCCAACGACGTTACGCTACCCGACGGAGCGTTAACTTATCGTATCGTATCGTAACTCATCATATCGTATCGTATCGTATCATATAATATCATATCGATATCGTCATTATACCACGACACCATTTTAACTCGTCCTCCAACGTTAATTCGTGAGAGGACATTGCTTAAGCACCCGACGCTCAACATATATATTTAACCCCTTGACCTGAAATATCGTGTCTAAGTGATATTAATTATTTGAAATATAAATTAAATATTACGTTTCTATCATCAATTGTTAACCTTTGGAATAAACGTAGATATAGAATAAGCATTAAAATTTGTTGTGTTCTTAATAAACTATTCGCGATAAAGTAGTTGTATAGATCATAGTTAAGAAATAAATCATAGAGCAAAGGGTTAAATGAATCTAATTCAAGAAAATTAGATCTATTTCTACAACATTTCCTCGTATGACTGCACTTTAACGTCCTCTTTAGCCTCTCATTTTCGTTCACCATCATTTCGTAGCGCTATTGCCCTTTCTCTCCGTCCCCCCTATCTTCCTCTGTGTCACACACACTCAGCTTGCAAGTCAAGCTTGACGAAACGTGACATTTGCTCTCTGTAACGTCTCACCGAACGCATGAGAAGAAGAGAATCTCTCAAGAGTTAGAGCAAGATAAACTCCTTCACGCATGCATGTGGATAGCCGCACACAAAGGCTCCCTTGCTCTCGTTTTGTCTTTATAACTCATCCCCTTTTTCGAAGACACGCCTATCGCTGGATAGCGCCACGAAACAATGAGAATAGAAATGAGGCGCTAAAGGAGTCACCAGAGCGCGAAGTTACAGGGGGAACAGTGTAGTCGCTAGATCTACCCTATTTCCCACCTTCTTGTTAGAGTCGCACGAATAAAACGATCTCTAAAGCTCGGTGAACTTTTGGAACCAAAGATTCTTCAGCAGTCTGAGTTACATTCTTTCCTGTCTTATTTTTGCTTTTGTTCTCGTAGAAATAGACGGAACTCTCTCACATCCGATTTGCGGTGAGAAAAGGAAAGAACAAAGAATGTTGCCTTATGTCATTTTATGATTGTTAGTTTACCATTCTTCTGTAGTTAGGTGTGTTAAGTTAAAGTCTATGAAGGAATTGAAGTCTATCAACTTATGTTTCTCTATTATTATAGAAACGTAAAGGTGTTCGTTAAACAACAGATTGAATACTTCTCAATGGTACTGTACATGCAATATCTTATCGTAAATTACCATTCCAAAGTTAAAGGTCACTTAGTTTGATGACTACAGTAAGATTACTTTTAGCACTTACGTTGAGCCAAGAATCAGCATCGAACGCTACTATTGGTTTCTCGTCAAGCGCAGTCTCCTGTCAAAAGTTATGTTTTTAATTTTAATTCGATATGAATAATCTTTTCGATAACACATGGAAGATTTGAGAAAATTATAGCCAATTTGGTATGCTATGCTTATAAGATATTTTTTAGCTGTCTTTTTTTAATAGTCAAATCTCTTATTGTACACGATATAAACAATGAGAATGAAATATGCATTTATTACGCGAACCGTTTATTGTTTATTGTAAATTCTGTAATTAAAACTTACCTGAAGCTGTTTCAAGATATTCGCAACATTTTGAATTTCCTTTTCAGTTTTATAAATATTGTCGGATAGAATTTGCGACTTTTTCAATAAGTCTGCTATCTCTTTTCTCATTTCTGGATCAATACTTAAATCGTCGTCCATCTTATCTGCCATTTTCGGTTCATCTTTAACCTTCCCTTCTAAGTAAATTATGTAATCTCGAACACGTTGCACGCCTGTTTTACGTAAATGAAAATAGTTTATAATTCATACCTAAGTAGTTGAACAGTGAAAACGGTACAGTTGTTGAAAAAATGTTTGTCTACTTCCAAATGAAGTTGTTGTACTGAATGTACTTAATAAATATAAACTGTAGTTTTTCAGCATTCGTTGTATAAATGATTCTTTTTATTTTATTTATGCGCAAGTATACGATTTTATATTAGCAACAGCAATTAAATTTTATGAAGTTGCCCTTCCATTGACAAAATTTTTTTAAATCATTTACCTTCATTTTGTTTTTCAAGTTTCTTGTTCAGTAAATCATTCGCCCTAATGTAATCTCCACTGTCATCCACGACATCTCTGTACATCACAGGCGCTCTCTCTGTATTTATTTTATTCATAATTTATCATTGTATAACCATAAAAACATAACTTCACAGTAACTTTTTTGTAAAACGAATATTAATGCCTATAGACTATTTTAATAAATGCACTATTAAAATTAGCCCAGTAAACTGATTTTAATAATATTATTAATATTATTATACGCATCTAAGAACATGAAACTGATTTTTGAAATGAGATTACATGATGAACATTTAGAAAATTGGAATTCTACTGGTTTAATCCTCAGACCTGCATCCTCTTTCAATCTGCTGTTTTCTTTCTTCAGATTCTCCAATTCTTTCAACAACCTATTGTTTTCATCCTGGCAGTCCTTTAATTCATTTTTCAACCTCGCAATTTCGGATTTCAGCTCGTCGTTCTTCTTCTTCAATTTATTCACATCGTCCTTTAATGACGCCTCGGAGGACTTTCGTTTAGAGCTCTCATACCTTAGATCGTCAGTTTCAGCCAACAACTTATCGTAGTCTTTCTTTAAATTATTGTTCACTGCTTTCAGCTTTTCCAACTCGTCCTTTATCGCATCATTGACTGCCTTCTGATTTTCTAAATCATGTTTAACTTTCTCATTGATCTCCTTCTGATTCTCTAAATCATCTTTAAGTTTCTCATTGATCGTCTTTTGATTCTCTAAATCGTTCTTAAGTTTCCCATTCATCGTCTTCAGATTCTCCAAATCATCCTTCATCTTATCATTCATCGTCTTCTGACTATCCAAATCGTTTTTCAAATTATTAATAACCGCGTTCAATTTCTCGATTTCTTCTTGCAACATATCATTCAGAACTTTCATCTTTCTCAAATCGTCTTCTAATCCGTTCAGTACGTTCCGAGCATTTTGCAACTCGTTCCTCAAATTTTCGCTCTCCAACTTCGATTGTTGCAATTCCAATTTCAATCTTTCCAATTCCGCCCCGCAATCCTTTAACTGTTCTTTCAATGCATCAAACTCTTGCACTGCATTTTCAAGATCAATGATCCGTTTCTTCAAATTATCATTTTCGTTGTACAGATCGTTCAAGTGATTTTCCGTTTGTGCTAATTTATCCTTCATCATGGCTAATCCAGACGATAGCGTTGCGTTCTCCTTTTTCAACTCCGCGTTCTCGCCTTCTGATGCCCGCAACTGCTGATTTAATTTCGCCACGTCAGACCTCAGTTTCTCGTTCTCGGCGATCAGTGCTTCGTTTTCAGTGCGAGTTTTATCCAGTTCCGCTCTTAAAGCACTTAGCTCCCGCTTTAAGTCAGCCAGCTCTTTCATGGCTGCTTCAGCAGCAGTGTTGTGTTTGTCAATCTCGTTCATAAGGCGTGCCAGCTCGTCGCGGAGTCGGTGAAGTTCATTGAGTAATTCTTGTTTCTCGGCCTGCAAGTCCGCCAGCTGATCTTCTAAAGCTTTCACTGCAGCTTCCGCCGCCCGAAGCGACTTGGCTAGGTCCTCCACTTTAGCGTCCAGGCGTCTTTTCTCGTCGTTTAGTCCGTCCAAATCGTCCTTCATTTCGTTTAATTGCTGTTGTAATTTCTCATTCTCAGACTGAAGCCTGTCAGCTGCTGTCTTCTGCGCAGCCAAATCTGATCTCAGTTCATCGAGTTCTACTCTTTGTCCGTCACCCTCGCCTCTCAGACTGTTGATTTCGTTCTCCAATTTGTTACGGTTCTGATGAAGATTCTCGTTCTCCGCTCTTAAAACGTCCACCTCGGACTTCAATTTGTTACGTTCGTCCTGTAGCCGGTTTTTCTCGATATTTAAATCATTCACATCGGCTTTCAACTTTTCGTTGCTGTCTCTCAACGCTGCGATTTCTTCCCTACATCTGTTAAGATCATTGTTCAATGCTGCGACTTGATTTGTAAGGTCATCCAGTTCTCCTCTGTATTTTCTATTAGCCTCCCTCAGATTTTCCAACTCTTCTTTTAGCGCCTCGAGCTCATCCCTCAGAGCAGCGAGCGCCACGTCGCACTTGTCCTTTTCTGTTCTTTTCGCTTGCAGGTCTTTTTTCTGTTGTTCAACTTCCGATTCTAAATCAGCGATTTTTTTATCTAGGCTGGCTTTTTCAGTCTGTAGTCGATTTAACTCTGCGTGGCATGCTTCTTTCGCGGCCTGTTAAAGAAAGGAAGATACTTTTAACTTATTTCCATATGTGGAAAGTAAATCAGCAAAAATTAGTTTCCGAAGAACTTTCGACATTTTTGAAAGTAAGGAAAAATTGAATATTGAAAAAAGTTTTCAATATACTACGTGCCCATAATAGTGTAAAAATTCATTCTCAATAACGTTAAGAATTTATTTAAGATTATGAATATTTTCAGTTTTATAAGTAGAAAATCTTAAGTTAATTTATATATCATTATTTCGTGTTAAATATTTTATATTTCATTAAATTAATTATTATTATCTTACGTTCATTGCTTTTCAATCAATATATAAATTATATATTTCTTTAAAATGGGTATTGAAGGCTTTTTGTAGAATAAATTCTTCAAA